TGTGGCCAGAAAGGGCACAAGGCCCGGGAATGTACCGTTACTGGAGAGCACAGAGAACGGAGACAGTGGTGTAGTTTTTGCAAGAGCTCCACTCATACTGATGCAAATTGCAGACGAAAAACAAGAGACAATGTGAAACAAGCAACAGATGCTGAAGGCCACATATTTGCATTCAGAATAAGTGACTGTCAGGTTCATGGACTGAAACAGAAAGGGCTGATGGTTGATACGGGAGCAACGTCACATATAGTCACGGACATCGGGAAGTTTAAGGAGTTTGACGAGACTTTCAAACTGGAAAAACATTCCGTGGAGCTGGCTGACGGAACAAGAACGAATGGTGTCGCGGAGAGAGGTGCAGCGGAGGTTTACCTGAGAGACAACACGGGTCGTCGGGTGAAAACAACGCTGACGAAGGTGCTGTACGTGCCGTCGTTTCCACAGGACATTTTCTCTGTTAAAGCAGCGACAGCCAACGGAGCTTCAGTCAACTTTCGACAGGGGTGTAACAAGCTCATCCACAAGAACGGTACCACTTTTGACATCGAGGAGTACGACAGACTTTACTATCTTAACACTGTAAGTGATGAAAATGATGATGGATGTCATGGGTGCTATGATATTCACACATGGCACAAAATTATTGGCCACTGTAATTTTGAGGATGTGTCAAAGTTAGAAAATGTGACAGAGGGAATGAAAATCACAGGTAAGATTGACAAATCTACCCTCAACTGTGAAATCTGCACACAGGGAAAATGTGTTCAGAGCAGAAACAGAGAGCCTGATGAAAAGGCAAAAGAGGCTCTTGAGCTTGTGCACACTGATTTGGCTGGCCCTATAGAGCCAGAGGCGAAAGATGGGTTCAGATATACTATAGCATTTACGGATGATTATTCAGGGGCAGTTTTTGTGTATTTCCTAAAAACAAAGAGTGATACTGTAAAAGCTACTGAGAAGTTTATTGCTGATGTGGCCCCTTATGGGGGAAATAAAGTGTGTCAGGTCAGATAATGGCACAGAGTTCACAGCCAAAGAGTTCCAGTCACTGCTCAGTAAGAATGCCATAAGACATGAAACTTCAGCCCCTTACTCACCCCATCAAAATGGGACCGCTGAGAGAAATTGGAGAACACTGTTTGAAATGGCAAGATGCATGCTACTTGAGAGCAACCTACCAAAGAACTTGTGGACATATGCTGTAATGACTGCTGCAGTAATTCGCAATAGGTGTTACAATAAGCGTGTAGGACAGACTCCACACTACATGTTTACTGGGAGAAAGCCTGATCTTTCAAAGATGAAATAATTTGGATCTGTTTGCTATGCATACAGACAGAACAAGAAAAAGTTGGACTCAAGATGTGAAAAGGGTATTTTTGTCAGGTATGATAAAAATAGTCCAGCATACCTAGTCTACTACCCAGACACTGGAAAAGTTCTTAAAAACAGATTAGTCAAGTTCGTTACAAAAGGTGTAGTCGAACGCCAAACTCAGACAGATTTGGAAATGAGTGATGATCTTCATGGGGAGAGATTTGAATCCCCCATGCCAAAAGCCAAGATGGCAGATCAAAATTCCGAAGAGACACAAGATGTGCATGAGACTTCAGATAGTCAGAGTCCACGCTATCCAGACAGAGCGAGGAAGAAGCCCCAGTACTTAAAAGACTATGAGTGTAAAGTGAAGTGTGATGACCAGATACCACCTAGTGTTGACTACTGCTACAGAGTAATGTGCAATGCACCACAAACCTTCAAAGAAGCAATGATTTCACCAAAATCAGAGATTTGGGCTATTGCTATGAAGGAGGAGATGGATTCCCTTAGGGGAAATGATACATTCACATTGACCACACTGCCAGAGGGTAAAAATGCAGTGGGGGGCAGGTGGGTCTATGCGGTCAAAAACAATTCAGATGAGACTGAGACATACAAGGCAAGATATGTTGCAAAGGGGTATAGTCAAGTGGCAGGAATAGACTATAAGGAGACTTTTTCTCCAACTGTAAATATCACATCAGTACGCTGTTTGATGCAGCTAGCAGCTCAGTATGACTTAGAGTTACATCAGATGGATGTCAAAACAGCATATCTACATGCTCCTATTGACTGTGAAGTGTACATGGAGCAACCAGAGGGTTTTGAAGTCAGGTCAGATACAGGTGAGCAACTAGTCTGCAAACTGAACAAGTCACTGTACGGCCTGAAACAGTCAGGAAGGAACTGGAACAAAATGTTGCATGATCACCTTAGTGAAAATGGTTTTACACAGAACCCAGCTGATCACTGTGTTTATAACAAACAAACTGCAACAGGATCATTTTGATAATTTGGGTCGATGATCTAATTATCACTGCTAGTGATAGTGACTCACTCACAAGTGTAAAATAAATGTTAAGTGAAAAATGTAAGATCTTTCCTAGGCATTGATTTTACACAAAGTGAAGGGAAAATAAAGATGAGCCAAACAAGGTACATAACCAAGATACTGGAAAGGTTTGGTATGTCAGACTGTAAAACAAGGTCAACACCATGTGAACAAAAACAAAACTTTGATGGTGATGGTGAACCTATTGATTCAAAAAGGTATCGTGACGTGATAGGCAGCTTGATATATGTGATGACATGTACAAGACCGGATATCAGTTGGATTGTCAGCAAGCTGTCACAATACCTATCAGAACCAAAAGAGCAACACTGGATAACAGCTAAACATGTGTTAAGGTATTTGAAGGGGACAATGAATCAGGAGTTGTGTTACAAAAAGGGGGTGGAAAAACTCAACCTCGTAGCATATAGTGATGCTGATTGGGCAGCAGATCAAAGTGACAGACGAAGCATAACAGGGTATTGTTTTAGTTTAACTAAATGTGGACTTGTTATTTCATGGAGGTCTAAGAAGCAGCCAACAGTAGCTTTATCTACATGTGAAACAGAGTACATGGCACTGGCTGCTACTACACAAGAAAGTTTGTACCTTGTACAGTTATTGGGCGAGATGGATAGTGAGTGCCAATATGCACCAGTAACAATCTTTGAAGATAACCAAGGTGCAATTGCTCTGTCAAAGAACCCAGTATGTCGTCAGAGATGTAAACATGTCGACATCAGATATCATTTCATTCGATCGGCACTCAGTGATGGTAAAATAAGTATTGAATATTGTCCAACGGCAGACATGGTTGCAGATGTTTTGACTAAACCTGTAACGAAGTTCAAAAATGAAAAATTATTGGGATATGTTTGGAATATAAAAACTGACATTTGTGAGATGTATAACTGTGTAAGCTAAATGTGTTGATAAAGTTAGGTTGAATACGACTTGTACAGTATAAGAGCAAGTGGGGGTGTTAGCATATAGACTAATGTTATTAAATTGTGTTCTTACACTGGTACAGTGAGAGATGTACAACTGCGCATGTGCGAAAATAAAAACGGGCATTCCCCCGTTCTGGTTAAAACACCAACGATGAACATGTGTGTTTATTCCTCCGTTAAGTAAACCGGTATTCCTGTCCTGAAGATGACAGCACCAACAAAGAGTCTTGGTGGATCCAAAGTTCTTCCATTTAAGAATGATGGAGGCCACTGTGTTCTTGGGGACCATCAATGCTGCAGAATTTTTTTGGTACCCTTCCCTAGATCTGTGCCTCGACACACTCCTGTCTCGGAGCTCTACGTACAATTCCTTCGACCTCATGGCTCTGACATGCACTGTCAGCTATGGGACCTTATATAGACAGGTGTGTGCCTTTCCAAATCATGTCCAATCAATTGAATTTACCACAGGTGCACTCCAATCAAGTCATAGAAACATCTCAAGGATGATCAATGGAAACAGGATGCACCTGAGCTCAATTTCGAGTCTCATAGCAAAGTGTCTGAATACTTACGTAAATAAGGTATTTCTGTTTTTTATTTTTAATAAATTAGCAAACATTTCTAAAAACCTGTTTTCGCTTTGTCATTATGGGGTATTGTGTGTAGCTTGATGAGTAAAATGTTCATTTAATCAATTTTAGAAGTCTGTAATGTAACAAAATGTGGTAAAAGTCAAGGGGTCTAAATACTTTCCGAATGCACTGTATATTATATTGACCAAATATTCCGAGTGGCCGAGTATCTTAATTTAAGGTTAGCGTTAGGCATAATGTTAAGTTTAGAATAACATTTGTGGCTGATGGAACTAGTGACGACCAGGCACAACTCCGATAGGTGCGTTCTTAAATTCACTCTAGTTATCTACTCTGATTTCAGAGCACTCTTGTGTGGCAGAACACAGGGTAACTGTTGAATTTACGAACACGCAACACTCATTGAATATGACCGGCGTCAATAAACGTCAGCAAAAAAAAATGTTATTTAATTGTTTCCAGCAGCACAGGTACACTCACTAACGCTCTAGATGAAAACAGCCTAGCCTGCTCTGCTAGGGCGAGTAAAATGGTCAGAGTGAGGTGTTCTCTCATTTGTGTTGGGAAGTAGCTAACGTTAGCAAGCTAGACAACTTTAGCCAGTTAGTTTGGGTGCTTGACTGCGGTTGTGAGGTCAGACAATCTTACAACTCTCTGAATTTACGAATGACTGAGAGCACACTGAGGCAATTTACGAACGCAGCCAAAGTGTTTTTTCTCAAAGTTGCCTGGATGTAACGTGTACTACTTATATCAGTACACTCATAACAACCTAATCATTACGAAACTTCTATTCGAGCAAATAAGCCACACGTAGCAAATAAGACATTACATTTTTTGTTAACCAAATTCGACACTCTCATTGAGCTCCATACAAAACTCGTCTGTCTGGTGAGCGAAAAAACGCCACCTGCTGGAGATGACAGATCTTGGGCCCAGTTATCTCTCTCGCTTCGCCTCTTCCCCTCTGCTAGATGTGAGAGAGAAGTTTGTCCCTCCTCGTGATCTGTCCCGTGTTCCAGAAGCGACGGTTGCTGGTGTGTTGGCGGTTCGTAAATACCTCAGTGTGTACCAGTGGCAAAGATGGAGAGCGACACCACTATTAGGAGAATAAAAGCCATATACGGGAAGCAAAACAATGCATCGGAAAAGAAGAATGACTCTCAGGATCAATGTGGAATCAACGGCTGTAGTGAAGTGAAAAAGAAGCCTGAAGTGAGCTTGTATCTGCTACACGAAGGCGTCGGAGTGGCACTGGTGACTGTATTCATTCTGGTGCTGTGGGGAGTCGTTCATTTGTCATTACAGCAGCTAGTCATTGGAAAATCTACTGGCGAGTTCAATGCTGTCAGGGCAAGGTAAGTATTGATACTGTTGTCAATTGAAGTGTAGCTAGCTATATTCTCAACAAGTTGCATATATAGTATCTCTGATATTAGCCTAATGTTATTAATTCCATTGCGATCACTTCCAGTTTGCAATATGGCGTTAACGACCCGGGTGTGTGAGCTAACCTTTCCTCTAGTTATTTATCTCAGTCGGTCCCACCTAGCTACGCTACAAGCCACCGGTACTAGTTGTCATTCTAGGTAACCCATGTCAGGTGTAGCTAACGGTCGGTTGATAGTAGGAGGGAGTGAAGGAGGACATTTAAAATAATGCTTCTCCATTGTTTCTTGACAGTTTGTGGCTCTGATTTATTCTGTCTGAACATGTCAATAGTGAAAGAGATATCACAGACACACATCGACCAATGATCCTGTACATAGGCTAAATTGAAGAATTGTACCATAACACCATTTTCTAAATTAGCTACTTATTTTATTTCCACCATTCCCATAATAAACATATACAAGGCTGCTTTTCAGTTAATCAGAGAGCAGCTGTATGCTTATTTGATAAAACCCTGCTTTTTGACTACTAGGTAGACAGAGAGGGAGAGAGTAGAAGACATAAGCCTGATGAATGTGTCAGATGGGACACATACAGTAGGCTATATAATCTTAGGGCAGCCCTAATGCAAACATGCAGGAAGGAACACCTGGAGTCATTAGGACACTACAGTCTAGTTGACCTAGCCACACCCATACAGTCCATGGAAACTTCTTCCTGCTTTTAGTGGCAGAAGGGAAGTGGTAGCCTGGTTCCAAATCTGTTTGTGCTGTCTTGCCAACTCCTGTGGTAACAAAACTGTTTGGCGCCGTGACAATGACCATAGGCTTTGGCAAGATAGCTCAAACAGATCTGGGACCAGGCTAGGGAATAACCATAGGAGTTGGCATGACAGCTCAAACAGATCTGGGACCAGACTAGGTAATGACCATAGGAGTTGGCAAGACGGCTCAAACAGATCTGGGACCAGGCTAGGGAATAACCATAGGCGTTGGCAAAACGGCTCAAACAGATCTGGGACCAGGCTAGGGAATAACCATAGGCGTTGTCAAGACGGCTCAAACAGATCTGGGACCAGGCTAGGGAATAACCATAGGCGTTGGCAAGACGGCTCAAACAGATCTGGGACCAGGCTAGGGAATAACCATAGGCGTTGGCAAGACGGCTCAAACAGATCTGGGACCAGGCTAGGGAATAACCATAGGCGTTGGCAAGACGGCTCAAACAGATCTGGGACCAGGCTAGGGAAAGGGTGGGGGTGAGGGTCTACATAGGCTACCTCAATGTCAAACAGCCACATAGGTCCTCTGGAGTGTCAACTTCCCACTGGTGTCAAATGACCTAAAGCCTTATTGGGATGGATCTTATTGTAGCTGCCAGAGTTTTCTCAAACAGAAAAAGTGGAAAGGAAACAGGAAAGGCTTTTCCACTGAAAAACCCAAAATGAAACGACTAAACAGGCTCTACAGTGTACAGGACTGATATGACTAGGTCAACAGTACAGGATGAAAGAAGTCATATCCCACTTCAAAACATTGCCATGCTGCCTCGCAATGTTTTAACTCTACTAATATTATTATGCACAACAAATACTAACATACGTCAGGTCAAAAAGGATGATAATATTAGGCCTAGCCTACATTTAGAAGTTATTAGGTGTGCTTGCTGAAAGCAAAGCACAACTTTAGAAACTGTTCGTACTTAGCATACTTTATCAAAATTATTGAAGTGAAACTTGATAGAAACTGCAGATGTAAGGACATAGTAGGCCTAGCCTATACTTAATATGCCTCTACCGATTTGCTGACTCACTCCCTGCATGCCTTTCCCTGTCTACCAGGAAGCACCTGGAGCGTATCACCAGCTTCGGTCCCCGTCCCACGGGCAGCCCGGAGAATGAGGTCCTAACAGTAAATTTCCTGCTGGAGCAGATCGAGCACATCAAGGCCGACAGCGCTTCAGGACCCCACTCTGTCACTGTGGACGTCCAGAGACCCACAGGCTCCTTCAGCATCGACTTCCTGGGAGGGTTCACCTCCTACTACGACAGGGTCAGCAACATCGCTGTCCGCCTGGAGCCCAAGGCTGGGGCTCAGCACCTCATGCTGGCCAACTGCCACTTTGACTCTGTGGCCAACAGTCCAGGTACAACACAACACAACACAACCAATTAGTCTTTATTATATCTTAGGGTTTAGTATTCACACACACACACACACACACACACACACACACAACCATGATAACACAACCATGGTTTTCACACACAACAGGCCTAATACAATCACTATCTCTAGCTATGACCAGGCCTGGTGGTTATGACCAGGCCTGTGTGGTAGTGTTGTTAGTTACAGTTGCATTACTGAAGAGAATAGCTAAAAGACATGTTATGTAAGGCACAAGTGGTCAAGTGTATGACTGATTCTGACAGAGATGTTCTTTATTTAGGTCAAGACAGCAACAGTACAGTAGTGGTGGTGTACTGTAGTTTAACCACAGTTGGGTGGGGAGGTCCTATTAGTTCATACTGTAACGTGAATGCAAAATCATTACATAAAAAAAAAAAAAAATCTCTACAAGCCGTCTGCATGTTTCGTCGGTGATTGGTCAACAGTAGGGATTCTTCAATAAAGTCTTTGTTGTCATTCAACGAGAGACGACTCATTTTCATGCACATTTTTTCATTGAGGAATACTGCACCAAACATCTTCGTTAGATGTAAAATTGCTCAACTAAGATCTCCTCAGCAAAAACGTCAAAGTTAATGAGTTATCTTAGATTCATTCTGACTATTTTGAGGAAGTGTATACTGGCTACGGCGTCTCAAATTGGACAAACAGTACTATTGCCGCTTTTTTCTCGTTTTTCAAATGACAGTATTTTAAGGGAGTATGCGAGTGCACCCGTTCGGTTCAGCTAGCCGAGTTCGGCTATGCGCCAGCCGAACTGAAGCCTTTACTCTCCATGAAATGTAATTACACCGTCATTATATCCCTGAAAGCAGAGAGGACTAAACAGGCAATAGCTTACAGTCCAACATGGTGCAAATTGCCAACCAAGACTAGTTTCAGACTGAATCTCAGATTAAGCCTACATACAGTTCTCCAACTGTAACTCATTCCCCGTAACACCTGCAGAGAAATAAATGTTCTCTGGAGTCTGAACATGAAGTTCTGTACCTAAAACCAGGAAATTGATACCAGAAGAGGTGTTAAATACATTGGATGGGGAGCAGGAAAAATAAACACAACCCAGGCATCGGGCATTGGCATGTTTCCCTCCTCCCTGGCTTCCACATACTCTCAGACAGAGGAAGCTGCATTCAGGAATTCAAAACATGCACATTGTGGGAAACATAACAGAAGAGGAGAATGATAAGGTTCATTGTCCCACATGATGGGTGTTCTCTGTGCTCAAGCAAGGCCCAACGGTGAAATGTGTGTGAACAGGGAGAAAGAAACGGTCACCTGTTGGCTCTGTTTAGCACACACACACACGAGCCCACGCACTCACATAAACATACGCAGTCAATATAACACACACACATACTACTCACACACACACACATTGCTGAGGGTAACACGACTAATGTGTTTTGACTACATTAGCCGTGGCACGGCACTCCAGTCTGTCTGGTTCAGGCTGAACAGGCCACAATGTCTCTGGCTCCTCGCCTGAATGGCCTGCCCGCTACGCAGGCCCACTCACTCTCTCTTATTCTCTGTCTATATCACTTTCTCTTTTACTCTCTCGCTCCCTCCCTTCTTACTCAACGTGAGGATATACTGTAGCAGCCTATATATATATACACACACACACACACAGTGAGGGGAAAAAAGTATTTGATCCCCTGCTGATTTTGTACGTTTGCCCACTGACAAAGAAATTATCAGTCTATAATTTTAATGGTAGGTTTATTTGAACGATGAGAGACAGAATAACAACAAAAAAATCCAGAAAAACACATGTCAAAAATGTTATAAATTGATTTGCATTTTTATGAGGGAAATAAGTATTTGACCCCCTCTCAATCAGAAAGATTTCTGGCTCCCAGGTGTCTTTTATACAGGTAACGAGCTGAGATTAGGAGCACGCTCTTAAATGGAGTGCTCCTAATCTCAGTTTGTTACCTGTATAAAAGACACCTGTCCACAGAAGCAATCAATCAATCAGATTCCAAACTCTCCACCATGGCCAAGACCAAAGAGCTCTCCAAGGATGTCAGGGACAAGATTGTAGACCTACACAAGGCTGGAATGGGCTACAAGACCATCGCCAAGCAGCTTGGTGAGAAGGTGACAACAGTTGGTGCGAATATTCGCAAATGGAAGAAACGCAAAATAACTGTCAATCTCCTTCGGCCTGGGGCTCCATGAAAGATCTCACCTCGTGGAGTTGCAATGATCATGAGAACGGTGAGGAATCAGCCCAGAACTACACGGGAGGATCTTGTCAATGATCTCAAGGCAGCTGGGACCATAGTCACCAAGAAAACAATTGTTAACACACTACGCCGTGAAGGACTGAAATCCTGCAGCGCCCGCAAGGTCCCCCTGCTCAAGAAAGCACATATACAGGGCCGTCTGAAGTTTGTCAATGAACATCTGAATGATTCAGAGGAGAACTGGGTGAAGGTGTTGTGGTCAGATGAGACCAAAATCGAGCTCTTTGACATCAACTCAACTCGCCGTGTTTGGAGAAGGAGGAATGCTGCCTATGACCCCAAGAACACCATCCCCACCGTCAAACATGGAGGTGGAAACATTGCTTTGGGGGTGTTTTTCTGCTAAGGGGACAGGACAACTTCACCGCATCAAAGGGACGATGGACGGGGACCATGTACCGTTAACGTGGTCCTCTGTAGCTCAGCTGGTAGAGCACGGCGCTTGTAACGCCAAGGTAGTGGGTTCGATCCCCGGGACCACCCATACACAATTTTTTTTTTATAATTATGCACGCATGACTGTAAGTCGCTTTGGATAAAAAGCGTCTGCTAAAATGGCATATTATAAAATGGCATATTAACTTGGGTGAGAACCTCCTTCTCTCAGCCAGGGCATTGAAAATGGGTAGTGGATGGGTATTCCAGCATGACAATGACCCAAAACACACGGCCAAGGCAACAAAGGAGTGGCTCAAGAAGAAGCACATTAAGGTCCTGGAGTGGCCTAGCCAGTCTCCAGACCTTAATCCCATAGAAAATCTGTGGAGGGAGCTGAAGGTTCGAGTTGCCAAACGTCAGCCTCGAAACCTTAATGACTTGGAGAAGATCTGCAAAGAGGAGTGGGACAAAATCCCTCCTGAGATGTGTGCAAACGTGGTGGCCAACTACAAGAAACGTCTGACCTCTGTGATTGCCAATAAGGGTTTTGCCACCAAGTACTAAGTCATGTTTTTAGATTCCGTCTCTCACAGTTGAAGTGTACCTATGATAAAAATTACAGACCTCTACATGCTTTGTAAGTAGGAAAACCTGCAAAATCGGCAGTGTATCAAATACTTGTTCTCCCCACTGTATGTATATATATATATATATATATATATATATATATATATATATATATATATATATATATATATATATATATATATATATATATATATATATATATATATATATATATATATATATATATATATAGCATATCGTTTAGTAGAAATATTCCCATACTAAGTATAGCCTAGGCTCCAAGTAAATGGTGTTCTCTCTGCAGCGTTCCTAGGCGTGCAATCAACATCATCCTCCTCAATCCCTTATTAGCTGCTGTAGTTGTTGGGTGTTTTCAGGTTTCCAATAAAAACATTGGCCTGGTTAATACTCAGTGTTGGCCTGGAGGCTTCAGGAGTGGATTAGCCTTTCCCACATTCTACTGTGTGTATCTACCTCCATCAGAAAGAAAACCTGCTGGACAGGAAACCTCTAGGCAGGTCTCGACTTCTTGTTTTGGCTTTTCCTCCTTCCTTCATAGTTTTTTGTTATGTTTTTCTTTCCTATATAGAATAACTGACAGTCAAGAACAATATTGCACTGCAGAGTGAGACAGTGGCTAACACAACAGCCACAGTTAACTGTGGAGAGATTTCCTACTGATAGTGGTGGTATGGGGCTGGCCTAGTGGGGAATGGGGCTGGCCTAGAGGGGCAGAAAGTGGAATTCCACCCTCCTTTTGTGTTTTTTAAAGTTTTTATTAGATGGGGATAGCTTTAGAGGAGAACAGTAGAAGGCAACAGAGATAGAGGGTTAGTGGCCAGACCGGCACAGCTGCACCTTGCGCCCTGCCGGGTGATATGTGGTCCCGAGTCAACAGCTCCAACCACTGAACCAGCCTGGCATGAGAGGGACATTTTACCCTGAGTGCAGCAGTGTAGGGACACTGGGCTGAAGGAGGCAGTAGCTTTTCTGATGAACGGTTCTGAATGCCTAAGTAGACTCAGTGATTAGGGTACTGTTGCTCTCATTGTGTAGCTTGTCTGATGGTTAGGTACTCCCCTACCCCGAGTGGCGCAGTGGTCTAAGGCACTGCATCGCAGTGCTAGCTGTGCCACTAGAGATCCTGGTTCGAATCCAGGCTCTGTCGTAGCCGGCCGTGACCAGGAGACCCATGGGGCGGCGCACAATTTGGCCCAGCGTCATCCAGGGTAGGGGAGGGAATGGCCGGCAGGGATGTAGCTCAGTTGGTAGAGCATGGTGTTTGCAACGCCAGGGTTGTGGGTTCGATTCCCACGGGGGGCCAGTATGAAAAATATAAAAATAATGTATGCATTAACTGTAAGTCGCTCTGGATGAGAGCGTCTGCTAAATGACTAAAATGTAAATGTAATGTAAATGTGTAGCTCAGGGGTGTCAAACGTCCGGCCCGCGGGCCAGATCAGGCCCGCAAACGGGTTTAATCCGGCCCGCGAGATGATTTTGAGAAAAAAATTATAAAAAAATTTCAAGGACAGCGGAGATGAGAGAAGGTGAATGAACTGTTGGCGGGTCTGAAGAAACAGCAGTCTGTGTTTACTCACAGCCGAGACATCAGTGACGCTGCAGTGAAAGCTAGCTACCTCATTGCTAATGAAATCGCAGTGGCTTCAAAACCATTTAGTGAGGGTGAATTTGTAAAAACATGCATGATGAAGGCAGCGGAGATTGTGTGCCTTGAAAAGCGGCAGGCTTTTGCAAATATTAGCCTGACAAGAAACACAGTTGCAGACAGGATTTCCGATCTTTCAGTGGATTTGGACAGCCAGTTGAAGCAAAAAGTAAAGTCATTTATTGCGTTTTCGGTTGCAATTGATGAAAGCACGGACATTACAGATGTTGCACAACTGGCCATTTTCATCCGCGGAGTTGATGACACATTGACCGTCACCGAGGAGTTCGTGGAGTTGGTGCCGATGACAGATACAACGACAGCAGCTGATATTTTTACCGCACTCGTCGGCGCGCTGGACAGGGTCGGAGTGGACTAGTCCCGCGCTGTCAGCCTGGCTACAGATGGTGCGCCCTCAATGATCGGGAAAAAAGCAGGCGTTGTGACAAAGTTCAGAGAGAAAGTGCAATCTGCAAATGGAGGACGTGATTTTTTGACTTTTCACTGTATTTTGCACCAGGAGGCTTTGTGTTGCAAGTCATTAAAGATGGATAACGTCATGAAGGTGGTCATCCAAACTGTTAATTTCATCCGATCCAGAAGCCTGAATCACCGTCAGTTTGACAGCCTTCTCAGAGAGAAAGACCACATCTATGGCCTGCCATACCACACTGAGGTAAGATGGTTAAGCCGAGGTGCTGTGCTGAGGCGTTTCTTTGATTTACGAGAAGAAATTGAACAGTTCATGGAAGAAAAGGGCAAACCAGTGTTAGAATTTCATTCCGCAGAATGGATGCAGGACCTTGCATTTATGGTGGATGTTACAGAGCACCTGAATAACTTGAACAAACAGCTGCAAGGGCGCAACAAAGTTGTCACGCAGTATTATGACAGCATACGTTCTTTCAAGTTGAAGCTGTCATTGTGGGAGACTCAACTTGTCGGTGGTGATGCAGCTCACTTCCCCTGTCTGAAAAATGTGTGCGCGACCCAACATGTGGCAGACATGAAGCGGTTCAAAGATAAAATAACGGGACTGTTACGGGAGTTTGAGCAACGCTTTCAGATTTATGTTTATATGTTTTTATGTTGATGTGCTATTGTTTTTAATTGTTTTTATTTTATTTGTATATTTAACCTATTCTTGACTCTGTGGTTCTTGCACTTGTTTGGGGAACAGGATTTCATTATTTTTATCTACATTTCTGCCTGAGAAATGACACCCTGATATAGTTCTGTGATCTGTGAAACAGTTCTGTTAATCACTGAGGCATTGTGTGTTTGTGTGTTATTTTTCTTTAGAATTTTCAAATAAACTTGACGTGTTTTATGATTAATAGTGATGTTGTGCTTTTGGACACTGTCCTCAGGCTCCAGCTTTATGTTTATATGTTTTTATGTTGGTGTGCTATTGTTTTTAATTGATTTTATTTTATTTGTATATTTAACCTATTCTTGACTCTGTGGTTCTTGCACTTGTTTGGGGAACAGGATTTCATTATTTTTATCTACATTTCTGCCTGAGAAATGACACCCTGATATAGTTCTGTGATCTGTGAAACAGTTCTGTTAATCACTGAGGCATTGTGTGTTTGTGTGTTATTTTTCTTTAGAATTTTCAAATAAACTTGACGTGTTTTATGATTAATAGTGATGTTGTGCTTGTACTATTTTGGACACACTGTCCTCAGGCTCCAGCTTTATGTTGTATGTTGATCGTATTAAAACAAGGAAAACAATCTGAAGTTGTTGTTTTTAAGTTATATATACCATGATTTTTCCGGTCCGGCCCACTTGGGAATAGATTTTCCTCCATGTGGCCCCTGAGCTAAAATGAGTTTGACACCCCTGGTGTAGCTTGTCTGATGGTTAGGCAGTAATGGTTAGGCAGTAAGTGATTACTGTTGCTCCCACTGTGTGATTATGCAATCAGCCCTCCAGGTAGGAATTTCAGCAGAGCATTAACTGTCACACACACTAATCTCGCTCACACTAATCTCGCTCACCAATATTCAGAGATACACCCGTATGGTTTTATGAGACTACACACACACACACAGTGTTACTGTGCCAGCCTTTCTCAGTCTCTGACCGCATGTCACCTGTGTGTGTGACAGGTGCAAGTGACGATGCGGTGAGCTGTGCGGTGATGTTGGAGGTGCTCCACTCCCTGGCCAACCTCTCCACACCTCTACGACACGGGGTTGTGTTCCTCTTCAACGGAGCTGAGGAGAATGTGCTGCAGGTGAGAGAGACCCTGGGGGACAGTAGTGAACACTGGACAGAGATAGACCCTGGGGGACTGTAGTGAACACTGGACAGAGAGAGACACTGGAGGACAGTAGTGAAAGAGACACTGGGGGACTGTAGTGAAAGAGAGAGACACTGGAGGACAGTAGAGAACACTGGACAGAGAGAGACACTGGGGGACAGTAGAGAACACTGGACAGAGAGAGACACTGGGGGACAGTAGTGAAAGAGAGAGACACTGGGGGACTGTAGTGACAGAGAGAGACACTGGAGGACAGTAGAGAACACTGGACAGAGAGAGACACTGGGGGACAGTAGAGAACACTGGACAGAGAGAGACACTGGAGGACAGTAGAGAACACTGGACAGAGAGAGACACTGGGGGACAGTAGAGAACACTGGACAGAGAGAGACACTGGAGGACAGTAGAGAACACTGGACAGAGAGAGACACTGGGGGACAGTAGTGAAAGAGAGAGACACTGGGGGACTGTAGTGAAAGAGAGAGACACTGGGGGACTGTAGTGACAGAGAGAGACACTGGGGGAATGTAGTGACAGAGAGAGACACTGGGGGACAGTAGTGAAAGAGAGAGACACTGGAGGACAGTAGTGACAGAGAGACACTGGGGGACAGTAGTGAAAGAGAGACACTGGGGGACTGTAGTGAAAGAGAGAGACACTGGGGGACTGTAGTGACAGAGAGAGACACTGGGGGACAGTAGTGAAAGAGAGAGACACTGGGGGACTGTAGTGACAGAGAGACACTGGGGGACAGTAGTGACAGAGAGACACTGGGGGACTGTAGTGACAGAGAGACACTGGGGGACTGTAGTGACAGAGAGAGACACTGGAGGACAGTAGTGACAGAGAGACACTGGGGGACAGTAGTGACAGAGAGAGACACTGGAGGACAGTAGTGACAGAGAGACACTGGAGGACAGTAGTGACAGAGAGAGACACTGGAGGACAGTAGTGACAGAGAGAGACACTGGGGGACAGTAGTGACAGAGAGACACTGGGGGACAGTAGTGACAGAGAGAGACACTGGAGGACAGTAGTGACAGAGAGACACTGGGGGACTGTAGTGAAAGAGAGAGACACTGGGGGAATGTAGTGACAGAGACACTGGGGGACAGTAGTGACAGAGAGAGACACTGGAGGACAGTAGTGACAGAGAGAGACACTGGAGGACTGTAGTGACAGAGAGACACTGGGGGACAGTAGTGACAGAGAGACACTGGGGGACTGTAGTGACAGAGAGAGACACTGGGGGACAGTAGTGACAGAGAGAGACACTGGGGGACAGTAGTGACAGAGAGAGACACTGGGGGACAGTAGTGACAGAGAGACACTGGGGGACAGTAGTGACAGAGAGAGACACTGGGGGACAGTAGTGACAGAGAGAGACACTGGGGGACAGTAGTGACAGAGAGAGACACTGGGGGACTGTAGTGACAGAGAGACACTGGGGGACAGTAGTGACAGAGAGAGACACTGGGGGACAGTAGTGACAGAGAGAGACACTGGGGGACAGTAGTGACAGAGAGAGACACTGGGGGACAGTAGTGACAGAGAGAGACACTGGGGGACTGTAGTGACAGAGACACTGGGGGACAGTAGTGACAGAGAGACACTGGGGGACAGTAGTGACAGAGAGAGACACTGGAGGACAGTAGTGACAGAGAGAGACACTGGGGGGAACACTGGGGGACAGTAGTGACAGAGAGAGACACTGGGGGACTGTAGTGACAGAGAGACACTGGGGGACAGTAGTGACAGAGAGAGACACTGGGGGACAGTAGTGACAGAGAGAGACACTGGGGGACAGTAGTGACAGAGAGAGACACTGGGGGACAGTAGAGAACACTGGACAGGAGGTTATGAGGTCAACTAAGAAGTTCACACAATCACATTAATTTTCAGCCAGACTCATAAATGCTATTCCTATTTTGTGTAAGGGTGGCTTGTTCTTGTAAAATGATATTAAATGACGTAATATGGAATGTTTTAATATATTTTTTAAAACTCTTCTTTCTCTCACTCTCTCGCTCTCTCTCTCTCTCTCTCTCTCTCTTCTCTCTTCGCTCTTCTCTCTCTCTCTATAGGCAAGTCATGGCTTCATCACTCAGCATCCCTGGGCCAAGCAGGTCCGGGCCTTCATCAACCTGGAGGCTGCAGGGGTGGGGGGCAAAGAGGTGGTGTTTCAGACAGGTAGGTGGAGACACACACAGGTGGTAGTAGGGACAAAGGGTTGGTGTTTCAGACAGGTAGGTGGAGACGCACACAGGTGGTAGTAGGGACAAAGGGTTGGTGTTTCAGGCCCCCTACACCACAGATCTAGGATCAGATTAGCTTACCTACTCCCAAACCTATCCTTGATCAGGAGAATAAATAAAGTAGTATCTGATCCTAGATCTGTTGTGTAGGGGTTAGGGGCAACTTCTACCTACTCTGTGTTTTAGACCAGTGATTGGACCTGGACCCAGGCCAATGGAACAGCTGTATCTAGGTGTCTGTGTCAGCAGCTGAACAATCCTTCCTGGCTCTCAGGGAACAGAATAGAGCTGTGATGCACGATACTGGAACACCTGGTAAAATGCAAATGACCCACAACATTGTCATCTTGAGGAGAGAGGGGTGTTTCAGGAAAAGCAATTCACTGACTGCAGAGAGAAACTGGCTGCTGTTGTAAATGTGAATATCTTATGCTTGGAATAAGGATGACCCCAATTAGTCAACTGGTCGATTGTTTGGTCGTTAGGCTGTTGGTTGACCGAGATTGTTTTAGTCAAGCAGTAACAAATATATATATACAGTACCAGTCAAAAGTTTGAACACACCTACTCATTCAAGGGTTTTTCTTTAATTTTACTATTTTCTACATTGTAGAATAAGAGTGAAGACATCAAAACTATGAAATAACACATATGCAATCATGTAGTAACCAGAAAAGTGTTAAAGAAATCAAAATATATTTCATATTTGAGATTCTTCAAAGTAGCCACCCTTTGCCTTGATGACAGCTTTGCACACTCTTGGCATTCTCTCAACCAGCTTCATGAGGTAGTCACCTGGAATGCATTTCAGTTAACAGGTGTGCCTTGTTAAAAGTTAATTTGTGGAATTTCTTTCCTTAATGCATTTGAGCCAATCAGTTGTGTTGTGACAAGGTAGGGATGTATACAGAAGATAGCCCTATTTGGTAAAAGACCAAGTCCATATTATGGTAAGAACAGCTCAAATAAGCAAAGAGAAATGACAGTCCATCATTACTTTAAGATATGAAGGTCAGTCAATCCGGAAAATTGCAAGAAATTTGAAAGTTTCTTCAAGTGCAGTCTCAAAAACCATCAAGCGCTATGATGAAACTGTCTCTCATGAGGACCGCCACAGGAATGGAAGACCCAGAGTTACCTCTGCTGCAGAGGATAAGTTCATTATAGTTATCTGCACCTCAGATTGCAGCCCAAATAAATGCTTCACAGAGTTCAAGTCACAGACACATCTCAACATCAACTGTTCAGAGGAGACTGTGTGAATCAGGCCTTCATGGTCAGTCATCGAATTGCTGCAAAGAAACCACTCCTAAAGGACTCCAATAAGAAGAAAAGACTTGGTCTGATGTGTCTAAATTTGAGATTTTTGGTTCCAACCGCCGTGTCTTTGTGAGATGCAGAGTAGGTGAACGGATGATCTCTGCATGTGTGGTTCCCGCCGTGAAGCATGGAAGAGGAGGTGTGATGGTGTGGGGCTGCTTTGCTGGTGACACTGTCTGTGATTTATTTAGAATTCAAGGCACACTTAACCAGCATGGCTACCACAGCATTCTGCAGCGATACGCCATCCCATCTGGTTTGGGCTTAGTGGGACTATCATTTGTTTTTCAACAGGACAATGACCCAACACACCTCCAGGCTGTGTAAGGGCTATTTTACCAAGAAGGAGAGTGATGGAGTGCTGCATCAGATGACCTGGCCTCCACAATCCCCCGACCTCAACCCAATTGAGATGGTTTGGGATGAGTCGGACGGCAGAGTGAAGGAAAAGCAGCCAACAAGTGCTCAGCATATGTGGGAACTCCTTCAAGACTGTTGGAAAAGCATTCCAGGTGAAGCTGGTTGAGAGAATGCCAAGAGTGTGCAAAGCTGTCATCAAGGCAAAGGGTGGCTATTTGAAGAACCTATTCCATATGTGTTATTTCATAGTTTTGATGTCTTCACTATTATTCTACAATGTAGAAAATAGTAAAAATAAAGAAAAACCCTTGAATGTGTAGGTGTTCTAAAACCTTTGACCGGTAGTGTATATGGAAAAATACACGATTAAATATTGGTCGAAAGAAAAGACGACTTTCGGTCGACGAAAATGTTCTTTAGTCGGGGACATCCCTAATCCTTTAAAGGGTGGACTCTATGTACAAATTTAAAGTGATGTTTCCACATCTTTTACGAGTCCCTCCTCTCTTGGCTCTCCTTCATTGACACACACACACACACACACACACACACACACAAACACACAGGTCCTGAGAACCCCTGGTTGGTCCAGGCATATGTCCATGCTGCCAAACATCCCTTTGCCTCGGTGGTGGGACAGGAAGTCTTCCAGAGCGGTGTGATCCCTTCTGACACGGACTTCCGCATCTACAGGGACTTTGGAAACATTCCAGGTAGGGTAAAACTTCTGTATCAACTATCTGCCTTCTTAGATCTCCACCATGCCGTCATGTCTACTGGCAGACTAGCCCACTGCCTAGCCCGCTGCCTTCACTTTATTTAATGTTTATTCAACTTTATTAAAAGTTATCGGAGTTCATCCTTCAGTATGTTTCTCATTGGACTCTAGATTAACAGTTCATTTCCATTCCCCCTATCTGAGCACTGTTAATCTCACTGACCTGACCGTCTTGTCCCTCTCTGTGTGTCTCTGTAGGAATTGATTTGGCCTTCATTGAGAATGGCTTCCTCTACCACACCAAGTACGACACATCCGACAGAATACTGACTGACTCCATCCAGAGGGCAGGTAAGTTCTATGGGCCCCATAGAGGTGCTTCTCCGATGTGAACAGAGAATGTTGTCTGTGTGTGGGAAGAGGGCTGTTTTCTCCATCTCCAATCTGAGGCTGGAGGTGATGCATGTCTCACTGGGAGTTTGAGGAGACTGGTACCGTGGTGTTGGGCTAGCTCAGCTGCTTGGCTGGCATAGTTCAGCTCAGGTCCTCTTTGGTGGGGGTTAAACAAGAGGAAGTGGGCTACGCCTTCTTCCCAAGGTGAACCCAGCAGGTCACTGCAGCACCACGCTCTGCTGGCTCACGTGACCATGTGCCAGAGGCTGAGTGAGGTCACTAACGCTCGCCCCCAGATCAGACAGGCAAGCTATACCTCCCTCCATCTTCACTCCTCTCCACGCTCCAACGCTCAGCTCAGGCCAGACGAGTAATCCACACCTCTCATAACCTTCTCTTCTTCTCTCCTCTCCTCTTCTTTGTGCTCCCTTGCGTCACTCTCTCTCCATATCTCATTTATCAATGACAGCTCTACTGTACTGTGGGCTGCAACACACCGCCTAGTCCTTAACGCAGCCAGGTAGCCACCCTCTGCTCCCTCCTCTCTCTCCACATTTCATCCATTAATGTAAATGACTGCTCAACCAAGCACTTAACTCCCTGGTAGCGTAAACACAATCTGCTGTAGGCTATAGCACACCTCACATTGCTCAACCTCTACCAACAATCATTCTCCTCTAACCTTCACGCCAAGGTAGCATAAACGCCTTTACTGTCTGCAGCACACATACTGCTCAACCAAGCATTCTACTGATTCTACCTCTAACTACAAGGTAGCATAAACATCTCCATACATAAACAGTAGTGGTGAAAATAAAGTAACTAAAATAAAAGCAGCCCATTAAGACAGGCATGAAATATGACTTGCCTGAGGAGCTATTTTGAACAACATAGCAGTCTAACCCTGTATGGTGTAGAACAGGGGTGTCAAACTCATTTTAGCTCAGGGGCCACATGGAGGAAAATCTATTCCCAAGTGGGCCGGACCGGAAAAATCATGGTGTGTATATATAACTTAAAAACAACAACTTCAGATTGTTTTCTTTGTTTTAATACGATCAACATACAACATAAAGCTGGAGCCTGAGGACAGTGTGTCCAAAATAGTACAAGCACAACATCACTATTAATCATAAAACACGTCAAGTTTATTTGAAAATTCTAAAGAAAAAGAACACACAAACACACAATGCCTCAGTGATTAATAGAACTGTTTCACAGATCACAGAACTATATCAGGGTGTCATTTCTCAGGCAGAAATGTAGATAAAAATAATGAAATCCTGTTCCCCAAACAAGTGCAAGAACCACAGAGTCAAGAATAGGTTAAATATACAAATAAAATAAAATCAATTAAAAACAATAGCACATCAACATAAAAACATATAAACATAAAGCTGGAGCCTGAGGACAGTGTCCAAAAGCACAACATCACTATTAATCATAAAACACCTCAAGTTATTTGAAAGTTCTGAGGACAAAGAACACACAAATACACAATGCCTCAGTGATTCACAGAAGTATATCACAGATCACAGAACTATATCAGGGTGTCATTTCTCAGGCAGAAATGTAGATAAAAATAATGAAATCCTGTTCCCCAAACAAGTGCAAGAACCACAGAGTCAAGAATAGGTTAAATATACAAATAAAATAAAATCAATTAAAAACAATAGCACATCAACATAAAAACATATAAACATAAATCTGAAAGCGTTGCTCAAACTCCCGTAACAGTCCCGTTATTTTATCTTTGAACCGCTTCATGTCTGCCACATGTTGGGTCGCGCACACATTTTTCAGACAGGGGAAGTGAGCTGCATCACCACCGGCAAGTTGCGTCTCCACAATGACAGCTTCAACTTGAAAGAACGTATGCTGTCATAATACTGCGTGACAACTTTGTTGCGCCCTTGCAGCTGTTTGTTCAAGTTATTCAGGTGCTCTGTAACATCCACCATAAATGAAAGGTCCTGCATCCATTCTGCGGAATGAAATTCTAACACTGGTTTGCCCTTTTCTTCCATGAACTGTTCAATTTCTTCTCGTAAATCAAAGAAACGCCTCAGCACAGCACCTCGGCTTAACCATCTTACCTCAGTGTGGTATGGCAGGCCATAGATGTGGTCTTTCTCTCTGAGAAGGCTGTCAAACTGACGGTGATTCAGGCTTCTGGATCGGATGAAATTAACAGTTTGGATGACCACCTTCATGACGTTATCCATATTTAATGACTTGCAACACAAAGCCTCCTGGTGCAAAATACAGTGAAAAGTCAAAAAATCACGTCCTCCATTTGCAGATTGCACTTTCTCTCTGAACTTTGTCACAACGCCTACTTTTTTCCCGATCATTGAGGGCGCACCATCTGTAGCCAGGCTGACAGCGCGGGACCAGTCCACTCCGACCCTGTCCAGCGCGCCGACGAGTGCGGTAAAAATATCAGCTGCTGTCGTTGTATCTGTCATCGGCACCAACTCCACGAACTCCTCGGTGACGGTCAATGTGTCATCAACTCCGCGGATGAAAATGGCCAGTTGTGCAACATCTGTAATGTCCGTGCTTTCATCAATTGCAACCAAATAACGCAATAAATGACTTTACTTTTTGTTTCAACTGGCTGTCCAAATCCACTGAAAGATCGGAAATCCTGTCTGCAACTGTGTTTCTTGTCAGGCTGATATTTGCAAAAGCCTTCCGCTTTTCAGGGTACACAATCTCCGCTGCCTTCATCATGCATGTTTTTACAAATTCACCCTCACTAAATGGTTTTGAAGCCACTGCGATTTCATTAGCAATGAGGTAGCTAGCTTTCACTGCAGCGTCACTGATGTCTCGGCTGTGAGTAAACACAGACTGCTGTTTCTTCAGACCCGCCAACAGTTCATTCACCTTCTCTCATCTCCGCTGTCCTTGAAAGTTGTCATATTTGTCGGCATGAAGACTCACATAGTGGCGACGAAGGTTATATTCTTTCAGCACTGCAACATGCTCTGAACACACCAAACATACAGCTTTCCCATTCAATTCCGTGAATAAATAGGATGACCATTTTTCTTGGAACACTCTGCACTCTGCGTCCACTTTTCTCTTTTTTGACAGACATATGGGGCAATGAGGGTGCCAAAGCACAATGTTAAAAGTAGAAGCCGTAATAAATATCGCGGGCAAAACAAAGTAGCTCATTGGCTGCACGTGCTGACCTATTGCTCGCCCCGGTACACGTTT